AAGGCAGGATGAAAGCAATCAAGACTAAAATTACGGCAATAATTTTGCTAACCACTGAATATATTTGAAAACAATGTGATTTAAAATTATATGTCACACTGTGCATAAAAATGAGAAGAATGCAAGGGACTCTTTGGAAAGCATACATTCAGAGCATGGTGGTTGGCCACAACATTCACCACCCAGGAGAGCAACCTCTGACCTCTGGTAGCCAACAGATTTAGGAGAAGAAAGTATGAAGAAAGGGGTATGAAGAATTTCTTGGTACATTCATGTATTGTGTGTGCCTAAAGCAGAGCTTAGCTTTATTTTTTTGTAAAAATGCAGGCATTTATTTAGGTGTCTAAAGAATAGTTGCCATGTCCAGAGTTCTTTTGAAGATCCATTCGATGAGTTTCAGTTAAAACAACCTGGACATGCTGAAAACAAATTATTTTGTCATCAGAATGGATTTAATTATTTTTAGTCTACAACAAGAGAGAGAGATAATCAGTCATTGCATTTTTGTTGGGTGTCTTTTCTTCTCAAGGACACAAGAATTCACATGTGTGGACTAGTTGCTTTAAATATAACTGGTACAAAATCATGGGGGTTTTTTTGTATTTGCATTTAAAATCAATGGCCAGACCCTCCCTTGTTTTTAATTTACATGTAGCATTTTGGAGACATTTTCAATTCCTGGCAGAAATGTGTATACAATAATAAATTACTAGACCCTCACATTATTGAATGATATATGAGATGGTTATGTTGCTTCAGCCTTGAATGTATCCATCATTTAGCATTCAAAGTCTCTTTTGAAATAAAGTTGGACTTTTATTGTTGTAAAACAAATGTATGATCCAGCACATGCCTTTTCATTAAAAAAAGTTCTATTCCAAGGAAATGCTAGATGGCCCATATGCTACTGTTCTCAGAATCCAAGAATAAACACTGGTGGTAATATCCTCAACTGGTGTAATTAAAGGTAGCCCCATTAACTTTAAGAAAGCTATGACAACACACTCCAGTTGAGGATCCAGGCGGATTGGGTAGAGCAATTGAGTTAAACAATTGGCTTGATCCTCAACTGGAGTGTTTTCATAGCTCCCTTAAAGTTAACAGAAAAATAATTCAGTTCACAGTAACACCTAGGAATCTGACCTGTTGACTTCAGTGTTACTGTGCCCTGAATTATTTTTCCGTTAACTAAAATTAATTTTAATTAATTAATACCATGAAAGGGAGCACAGCAAAGGCTTGTGTACTGCCTTGGAAAGCAGCAATAATGGATGATTTGCCAGCTATGAAAGGTTCTGTTTAAAACCCTTTGCATTTCAGAGATGGGAAAAACACTCTGTTTTGTCTTCCCTAGGTGATTAAAGCAGTGGAGGAAGGCTATCGTTTGCCAAGCCCCATGGACTGCCCAGCAGCTCTTTACCAGCTAATGCTTGACTGCTGGCAGAAAGACCGGAACAGCAGGCCCAAATTTGATGAAATTGTCAGCATGTTGGATAAGCTCATCCGTAACCCTAGCAGCTTGAAGACATTGGTTAATGCATCAAACAGGTACCCATTCAGGTTGAAGCCATTTCTCAGTGAAAGACTTCCGTCCTAATATCCTGGCATTGAAGTGTCTTTTAGTATTTGGTCAGTAAAGACTCTCTACAGATCTACCAAGGCCTTTATTATCCCCAGAATAGTCTTCCCAGCCAACTCTTTCTCTTTAAATTGTCAGATATGCGGACAACTGAATCACTTTATAAATACTTCTATGCTATAGCAGGTAAAATTAGCATAACCTACGTTTCAAGCACTTGAGTTGGCTTGTATAGTCCCAGCTCCGTAGTGAAATTAATTCTGCTGTGTACTGGATTTAGGGGCCGTGCCTACATAAGATGCTGATTGAGTTGTTACTGTGCAGTCATGTAGTACTTTTATACCCAAATAGTAAATGACTGCACAGTAACCGGCATCCTGGTGACACTGACTGTGCAGTAGCTTGTAGCTTGTTACTACTGCTGAGTAGTAATGAGCTACTGCGCAGTAAGCACCTTGTGTAGATGCAGCCAGGGAGAGCAGAATTTGGCCCATAAAGTATATAATAAAAACCATTTCAGTTATCTCTCTGTTGACTTTATCCTGTTAATACTAAGAGAAGAGAAACCCTTGTGGGGAAATTCTTGAGACTAGCCAAGCTAAATGTTTGCAGATGCATTCCTACCCACACATGTCCTCTTGCCATCTTTCTTAACTCCATTATCATTCACCTCCATTTGTACCATTTGTCAAAATTACAAACCCTTGTGGTTGAACAATATTGTACACAAATGATTTTTCTAAAACCACATTAACTGAAAAAAACAGCGTGCAATTTTAATGTGAAACATGATCAATCCAAGCCTACAATTAAAGTAGAGATTATAGAAAAAGAGGACTATAAATATTTATTTTTAAATTCCTACTGGCTAGTAATCTAAACAATAAAAATTCCATGGTACCAGAAGCCTGAAAAGAATAGCTCCCTTTTTTTACTATTACACATGTTCAGTGTTTTTCATCTGCAGCATTAAATTATTTAGTTTTAATCCTATTGCCCTCTACACAAACTCAGGAGGACAGATTCTCAACCAGTGTAAGTCAAGGTGGCTCCACTGACTTCAGTGGAGCTATACTGACTGATGCCAGCTGAAGATCAGCCCTGGTTCTGTAATAATTGTCCACTTGGTCACAGGGAGGAAATTACACACACATTTGTACTGGCAGTGCTGTAGCAAACGTCTAGGAATAAGCAACAATTGTTAGGAAAGGTTAGGTTGGCACTGTGGGCCAACATTTGTTTACCAGAGTAAATGTCATTTTTTAAATACAAAGTAGGCACGAGTCTTCAGGCTACTTTCCATGCATCATTAATCCTCTGAAGAAGCAATTGAAGAATGAATCTTATTAGCAATTAGTTGTAATGTCATTCCTAGCAAATCTGCATAAAAAGGTTTATGGTAGCATAAAATATGAGACACTTCTCTTTTATTTTCAGTTTGGAATAGTCATTTTCAGGGCATGTTGTGCAGCAGTTCATACATTGTTATACCAAATTGCACCAGAGAAGATGAAAACAGGCAGTAAACCATTTCATATAGTCACTAAGCACCTTATTGATCTTTTAATGCATTTACAGTTCCAAGTCATTCCAAATGTCTCCATTTCAAAACCACTATTAGTGTTTCAAATGTGAACAGTGCACCTGAACCGTCAATTTTTTGTGGTCATGTTTATTTTACCCATATCATTCTCTATCCATAATAAAAAGTTACTGAATCAACCCAAAATTAAACAAAATGCCTCACTAAAGGATCTTTTATATGTACAATCCTTTATTAAAAATTCTCATTAATGCAGATAAGGGAGGAAATAAAGCATAACATGACAATGTACGCATATCAATAAATGCATTATGGTTTTCACACTGAAAATCCACCTCTTTCTTATGGTAAGATAGGAAGTTTGAATCCCCTCTGCATATAAAATTTTATGTGAAAACATGTTGCTTTTGGTACTGGTAGTATTTACATTTTATTAGATCCTTCAGCAAGGTCATTAAATGAACAAAGAAGTACTAATGTGATCTTAAAATATACAAAGATTTCTCAAGTGCTGAAATAATATCTCAGATATCTTACCTGTTTGATACATTTGAATTTAATTCCCATATTCAAAGCTTCACTCTGCAAAAATTTACATGTGTGCATTAGATTCCTCATGCAAGTGTTTTTCTTAGGCAGTGGATAAAGCACTTAGATACACTGGGTTTGGGATTCACATGTCCCATTCTCACGTCCTACCTGGAATAAATTGTTTCACCACTTTCTGCCTCATTTTTCCCATCTGCGCAATGGTGATATTGATGCTTAACTCGTTTGCAAAGTCCCTTGAAATCTATTGCCAGAAGAGATGCAGTATGTAAGCATGTAAGGTGTTTAAGGTATGGTGCTGCCCAGGAACCAAGTAACAACAGAATCCCATATTGCTGGACATGGTGCGAGTAGTTTTGGATTTGACTGGCACTTCTTTTGTGACTAAAGTTATATAGATATATTGGTCAAGATTAGACTGTAGGTAGCCTCCTGAGTCTAGAGCCGGATTTTAGAAATTGCTAAAATCAGTGGGAGACAAGTAGTTTTGAAAATCTAGCACATATTTTCAGAAACAGTCCCTCCAATTTTGACCACTGACTGGCAATGATAATCAGTGATGGGAAATACAATATGCATTTATCTCCACTCTCCTGACTTGTTTAGAAAGAGAATTTGGCTGCCATACTCTCTGCCCTTTGATTTACCATAGCTGTAAGTTATAATGAAAAAGAAAAATAGAGGTGGAGAAGATAGAACTTCTAGATAGGAAAACACAATAGATGCTTCCTCTTTAATATTAAAAATGGTGGATGAATAAGTTATATTAATCACTTTGAAATATTAAACCTTGTTGTTGTTTTTTTTTTTATTTTAGAGTGTCAAATTTATTAGTAGAACATAGCCCGGTGGGAAGCAGTGCCTACAGATCAGTAGGTGAATGGCTGGAAGCCATCAAAATGGGACGGTATACAGAGATTTTCATGGAAAATGGATACAGTTCAATGGATGCTGTGGCTCAGGTGACTTTAGAGTGAGTAGTTTCTTGATAATTTTCACTTAATTTGTTGGAGCAGGGTGAGAATACAAATAGGTGTAAATGAAGTAGAGAGGTAGGCTTCAGAAGAGGACAAAGAAGGGAAGCAGTTCACTTTCGTATGTAGCCATTAGTTTTCACAGAAGCCTCATCTTTTATTACCTGTATTGATAACAAATGCAGGAGAGAGTTGAACTTAAGGTCATTGTGTTTGTTAAAATAACTGGGCTCCTTTACCAAATAAACTTACACTAGATTTTGCATAACAGACAGACCCTATTCTGGCAGTTGGATTGCTTGGGGAATTTTTTTAATAAAAAAAAAAAATAAGCACAGTTTTATACCATCAAATGAATGGAAACTGGAATCTCTTCTCATTTACATTACTCTTATATGGGCGTCACTGGCTTTTGAGGGAGCTGTGCCTAACCCCAGGTGATTTGTGGACAGGCCCAGTATGTGATATAAGCGGGATGTGATTTTTACCTGCAAAAGATGAAAAACAGACATTTGCACAATTGATGTGGCTGACCTCATAACAGTGACAATAGACCATCAGTGAAGCCCATGTCATAACCCCCAAGGCCTGGATTCTTAGTTCCAAATTCCAGCACTGTAAAGGAGTCCTCAAAAGGGCACAAATTGCATTAGCCCCAACCGGACATTTTCAGAAATGGCAGTCAAGCCTAGAGGTCCCCTGCAAATATCCAGCTAAAAATGAAACGTTTTTTAAAGAAAGTGGGTCTGTTTGATCATTAATTGTCTTTTTGGATTCTGTGTGATGTTGAAAGGAAGAAATGGGTCTGATACTGGCCCAGTTCCAAGCCCCTCTCCCACAAGAGGGGTGCGTGTAAGCTATGCAGCTCAAAAGAGCTTGCCCTTCACTTGCAGGATTGGGTCCTGGGTACATAGTGTGTGGGCCAGTGGTGCCCTATATCGTTATGTTTGCATGCCTCTGAAATCAGGCTGATCTGACTGTATTGAATACAATACATAGCACTGAATTAATTCAGTAAATGCCTTGGGGTAGTTGGTTTATTATGTGCCTTTTTTTTTCTTTAATTTCCTGTACCACTTGTGTAATAATTATGCCTATATTTTTTTTTCCTATTATTTTTGCAAGCTGACCATAGAGACTGTGTTTCCAGCTTGGTTATTATAGGTTATCACAAATGTTGAATTAGAATGAAAAGGAAAATGACCCAGTCCTTTATGTTGTTCTAGTTCTGATCAGCACACACACACGCACGCATGCACCCCCTCCAGCTGGCCAATATGCATATTGAATTAACTGAAAATAATAAGAAATCCTATACTCACAGAACCTTAACGATTTCTCCTGTTCTGCAAAACAAGATCAACATTGCTGTAGGAACTCACTATTATTAAATGGAATTCACTCTACAGAGTAGGAATTCCTTTGAAACATAGAAAAGATGACCTAATAACAACTTAAAATAATATTAATAGTCTGGGGTCCAGTAGGAGTGGAAATGTTGCAGTGTCTCTTCTCTCACTACAGTTTTGCAATGCTCACAATCCTAATATCCCTTACTTACTGTGATTTCAGGACAGGGGCCGAACCCTATAAATAATTAAGCACATGTGTAACTGCACACTTTGAAGAGTCGTCATGTTTTATGTCATTATATATTTGTGTTTGTAGTACCTAGGAACCCCAGTCAAAAATAAGGGTCTCGTTTTGTTGGGTGCTCTATAGAAATGGAGCAGAGAAGACACTTCCTGCCCAAAAGAATTTGCAATCCACAGGGCAGACAGGAATAGCCAAGAGAGCAAACCCAGAGAGCACAGAGGTGGGATGAGGCAACAACTGGGATAGATCTGAGCAGAAAAGCTAAAGTTGTTGGGTCTGCTCACAACACTCAGAGTTAAGCATTTACATCAGTCATTTGAGTTTGGAGAGCTTGCCTTTTGCACAGTCCTGAGACCCTCCACTTCCACAGTGAGAGCAGAGGCAAAACTCTGCTTTGACAAAAAAAATGGAGATCCAGCAATAGCAGTGTTCCACTGATTTGTCCTGGTTTAGCCAAATTATCAGTGTTGGGTGAAAAATTTGGAAAAGTCTGACTGTTCCATATTGAAAAAACTGTTCAGATTTCAAAATTTGCTTCAGTTTTATTAAATTATAATGTTAAAAGTAACACATTTGCTCACCTCTGGAATTAAATGTTTTATTCAATTAAAAAGAAAAAAAACTGAGTTGTTGATGTTAGATTACCATTTTATTTTTATTTTTTTTGGAATTGCAAACAATTTCAGCAATCATCCCCTCCCTTCCTTCCTCACTTCCTCTCCAGCATTTCCCAGCTCACCATGCTCTGGTTATTAGGTTCTTCCATATTTCCTCCAAGTCATATTAGGTTAGACAAACACTTTTCTAAAAAGGTTTAGACAGGAATGATCCTGCCTTGAGCAGGGGTTGGACCAGATGACCCCCCAAGTGTCCTAGCCCTACTTTCTTGTGATTCTGTGTCATATGCAATGTATATAGACCTCATTACACATTATTTCATAAGCATTTTTCCCTAATCAGGGCCTAATTTGTCAGAAAAACATCATCATTTCTAAATTATTAAGTGGATTATACCTCCTCTAACATATACTAAAATAAAAGAATAAATAAGTGTCCCATCCATGCCAAATTATTTGCTATTATTTTTTCCTTAAGCTCTCTCAATATCTGTCTCTCATTCATCCATTCTGTGCTGTCCTCTCATGTCCTTTTTCTTCTCCCCACTTGCATATATGCTGTCAGCTTCTAAAGCTGGATTTCACACAACTAATGTCAATCCAAACAGGTTCTGGACCCCTTGCATTGATCAAAATATATATTTTACTCGGGACATGTCCAGCAGAGATTTTTATTATTGTTGTTATTAAAATTATTCTCTGTTGTAGATTTTTCATACTGAAATATTCAGTCAGAAAAAAAATGCTTTAAAAGAATCCCGTTGCACCATAAAAAGCCATTTCTCCTCAGAGAAAAGCAGGCTCTTTCAACCCATTCCCTCAATAGCCAGAGGAAAGCGGACATTTTCATCCTACTACCTTAGTAGCCATCCCACCTACTATACCTACTCTGCTGTCCCTGAACTTCAGGCTTTCCTGCCCTCTCTTATTTCTGCATCTGGTTGCTGCCTCTTCTTTGAATTGTTTCTTTTTTTATCCTTTATTTACTCTTTATTTTTCTCCTTTCCCTGTGTTTCTTTCTTTTCAGTTGTTGCTTCCTCACTCATCCTCCACTTGCATCTTCATCTATCCTTCCTTCTCCTTTTTTTAGCTCTTTCTTATCTCCCTGTGCTAATACCTTCTTACTTCCCCAAGTATCCCCCCTCCCTTGTTCTGCTCCTCTATCCCTGCCTGTTCCACTTCCCTGCGGCTGCAAGTATAGAAGCTGTGTGAAATTAATAAAATCAATGGAGTTCTTTTGCTTCGGTAGATCTGGTAGGCATCTTGCTGATTTCATTTGCTGTTCTGCCAGTGCATGGAGGACAGCAGCAAGGGACAGAGGAGCAGAGGCTGGCAAAATATGCCAAGACATCAGACAAATGTATATCAACCCTTCCCAGCCCCCAGGTCAAAAGCATCCCATGGGATACTCAGAAACAATATTCCACTTCATTTTTTTCTTTTTTCTTTTTTTTACTTTCTTCTCACTCATGAAACAGTTCCATGAAAACAAGGTGCTGCAGAAAAATTCATTTGTGCGCTAATATACATTCGGCCCATGCCTGGAAAACTCTGCCAGAAAAGAACCAAGGAATATTTTTCAGCCCAAACATTTTTCAATGAACAATGCAGACTTGCTCATGCAGAAATGTTCTGTGCATTCTTCTTGCTTTTACTGAATTATTTATATCAAAGACAAGTAAATAAACATTTAAAAAAAAAACCCTTCTTTTTGGCATTTTCCAAAAAAAATATTTCATTTTTTTAAAAATTCAAGTTGACTTTCTGTTAGGAAAATCCCTTCAGTTTTGGTTCGACAAAAAAAAAGTAATTAAAAGACCTTAATATAAGCTGGAACCTAAAATGAAGCATCTCATTCAACCAGAAATGATTTTATTATTATTATTCAGTTAAATTTATTTTTAAATAAGTTATCTTGGATTAATTTTTAAATGTTTTTTCCCTTGGGTTCTGCAGAATTGTGAGCTAACAAAAAGCTCAATTTATTTAATGGCTTTAGTCACGTTATAGCTTCTAGATACTTTGACCTTATCTGCACTGAAAACACCTTCCAAAAGGCAGGGAGTGCCTCTGAATTCTGTTCTCTGGCAGCAGTATCCAAAGGTCCCGCTCTCCTAGCGCCGCTAACCCAGGTGGCACAGTAGCGACGTGTTATCTCTGAACCAATGCCCACGCCCTGGTTGACTTCTTGGCTGACCAGACCTAGCTGCCTCCAAAACCTTTCACATCCACAAAGCAGTGCAAAGGAGCTGGTACTTCCAAGAGCATCTAATGAACACTTTTAAAAAGTTTAATTCCCTTTATTTAACTTTTAATCTGTGACGAGAGGTCTGAAGACAATTCCTTTTAATATCTACTTGCCCATTCTTCCAAAACATAATGTATTTTAAACTATATCCATACTGCTCTCCAGTATGTTCTTCAAAGGGCCCAAGCATACAAATCTTACACACAAGTTTTCTCATGGATGCGGATTCAGTAAATTCACTGAAACCACGTTTGCCAAAATGCTGACTAGTATAAATAGGGGTTGCACAATTGGGCCCTAAAATAAATCCATATTGTGCTAAGGATTCAACTCATTATTAAAATCAGTGGAGAGTATCTTTTAAAACCGAGTGGCATAATCATTTTATTTCTAGTCTAGGCATTACTATACTCTATTGCAGCATAATTTCTGTGAGCCAGTTCCTCAGCTGTTGCAAAGCACCAAAGCTCCATGGACTCCAATCTAATTACCCCAGTTTACTGCAACTGAGCATCTGACACCATAAGTTTATTATTGTAAGCAAATTAAATCCTGAGAATAAAGTTTATCTTTAGACTTAGATGCTTCCACAGTTGTGGCTGGGTTCCTAAACAACTTCTATCATTTTACAGTCTAACACCACTGATACCACCTATTTTGGTTTAGTTTGTTCAGACTTTGGTTTGCTCTCCACTTTGATAAGTTTTTGAGAAAATTGACAGGCTAATTTAAAATAAATTAATCAACATCTGTGCTATATTTTATATACCTTGAAAATCACCAAAGGCCAGGTCTTTATCTAAGGTAAAGTGGCAAGCTTTCCTTGACTTCAGTACTCCAAAACAAAATGTTTCTTGTGATTAAAAGCTGATCCAGATCCTTATCTGGTATAATTGGCATGAACTCCTGTGACTTTAACAAAGTTCTATGGATTTACAGCAGCTGAGGATCATAGTCACTGTTTCTGGAATAAGGGAAGAAATGCTGATCTAGCTACTGGCTACTACTAATGCAGATATACTAACATTGTACAGGTTCTCTCAACTTACTTGGGAGAAACCCCTGGAATACACAAAGTTCTTTCATGGTTACAAGTGGGCTTTTTTGTTTTAGCTTTCATTTTGTGTTGATTATTTTTGTTTTACTTTATTTTGCTTCTTTTCTTTTGTTTTGCTTTGCTTTATTATAAAGGAGAACAACAAAATATTTTATAGAGTGCAAATAAGAATCAATTTAAATATTCCGTGTAATTTTCAATATAGGTAATTGTTCAATATATTCCAGAGCTGGGACTTGGGGGGATCTGGTGATGAGAAGAGCTGAACATTTTCTCCCCCTCACCCAATGGCATCAGTAAAACACTACAGTTTTTGAAGTCTTCTCCAAATACTATCTAAAATGGCATTCCCCAAAAAAACAACCTGTATGGGAGCCAGAGGTGGAAATTAAATGGGAAGTGGAATACTGGATAATTCTTTCCCAAAATGTAGAAAAATGAAGAAATAAAGAAAAAATCTTTAATATGAAAAACTGTCCTACATTCCACTGAAAAGAATATTTAATCCCTGATAAAATGTTAGAGCCAACATTTTCAGAAGTGACTATTAAATTCAGATGATGAATTTGGGACATCTAAAAAAGGCCTGATTTTGAGAAGGCAAGCACTGAGCACTTTCTGAAAATCAGGCCTCATTAAGGCATCTTAAGGTGTACCAGACACCTAACAATTGAACCATCTGAAATCACTGGTTACTTCTGAAAATCATATTCCCCAGCTGACTTCCCTTGAGCAGGGGGCTGGACCCAATGATCTTGTGATGTCCCTTCCAGCCCTAATGTCCATGAAATCTGTAAAATCTATTCTTGTGTCCAACCAGTCCAATCAAAATCTGAATGACCAGTCATGCCAGGTTCAAACTGGAGATTACATGCAAGTGTCATAGAAAAGACACCCTACTATGCAACAAATTTTGGAAAAATAAAAATAAAAGGGCTAATTAAAGTGAATATCTCCCCAAGTCCTGAGCTCTACATGATTTAGCAAAGACCTGAAAGTTAATGTGTTCAAACAAAGAGTGATTTCTACATTTAGCTCTAATTCTTGCCAAGGGACGAATCTCCTTGTGAAAAGTGGAGCCTCACCCTCCACCCCCTCTTTCCGACCGGATATCAGACTTGAAGGAAACTGTGCCACTGGACAAGGCCTGCTCTTTAAACTTTGGGACCATCTAGTGACTTTGAGTGGGCCTGGAGCTCTATCATTACACAGCAAGAATAACTTTACCAGGACAACCCTCAAGAATAGATAGATCATGACTTGACTCTCAATCTCACACTTGGCTGGACCTATTGCTAACAAAATGTGGACTCCATACCATACCTTTTGAAAGATCTGTACTCACTGAATCTCAGGACACCCTGTTGTTTGTTATTAGTTGAATAGCTCTGAATATTTGTAATGATATGTGTTGTGTTACTCTGCATTGTAATTTTTCTTATAAAATAAAATAAATTATTTATTAAAAAAAAACACCGAATGAAAAATACTCAAGAATTCACCTGCTCCTGCTGCTTTTCCTAAACCTAAAAGTTTGTATTTCTCAGTTTGTGACACTGCAATTATTTCTAGAGGAACCAATTCTGATGTCATAATGATATAAGAAGGGAATAACAAACAAGAGCAGATGAACTCTTAAAAAAACAAAACAAAGCAATGGTGTCCATATTGTACAAAAGCCCCCAGTATGTGGGTGTCTAACTCCCCTAGCATCCTTGGAAATCCCAGCCTGAGAATCCCCTCTCACTACATCTGAAGAATGCCTTATGGTTTATGCCATCAACAGTTCCACTGATTTGCAAGGGAACACTTGAACTGAAAGGCACTGTAGAACCTGAGTAACAGTGGTAGAGTCTGTCCCTATAGTGGGACATGAATCAAGGGGAAATGGCATCCAGCTGCCTCAGTGGATGCTGAGTTCTTTTGAAAATTCAGTACCAGTGTGAACTGAGCCTGGAAATCTGGTCCTTGTTGTATAAAATATAACTAGAACCATCACTAAATGAAATGCTCACAGGGTATTTTTATACAGCTTTAAGGCTATGAATTCAACTAATTAAAAAGTGAGCTATCACAATTAAGGGCTAATTGTCCTCCACAAAGTTTGCAGCTGGGCTTTCAAGATTGGGGATGCTCTCAGAGTACCAGCTGTATTGCTGTATGAAGGCTTCTTGGAATTAGCTAAGGACAAACCAGCAATGTTACCTGTGATTTTCTTGGCTTGGCTTGGCTTGGCTTAAGTCAGGTGCTTAGTACAGTATAAGGGTACAATTATGAATGGGTTTGTGTTCATTTTCCACCTTGGATCAATGAAAGAAAATAAAAAATGAAAGGCCTCTTCACAGGACAGAAATGACAAGTATATTGACGTTCTGGTTCAAGTATATTAAAGAATGGAGACTCAGTGGAATTGGGCACCTATACACATAATGGAGTTCTACTCTCATGCGTGCTAATTAGCATGTGTCAGAGCAGACTCGCTTAATGGACGCTGCTGGAGCATACTCATTAGTACACTCCAGCAGCCTCCACATCACATGTACTCAGTTTCCCTGTATTTCAAAATTGTGGCAGGGGTGCTTTAACTAAAGCTTGTCAAATGAGCCTTAGTTAAAGTGCCCTGTTGCCATTTTGAGGCATGGGATGCTGAATACATGTGATGCTGTGGGTGCTTTAAACAGAGTGGCTCTCAGAGCTGTTCTAATTAAAGCCCCCTTCTTTCCACCCTGGAGCATGGGTATAGATGCCCAATGCTTTTACACATGCCAGTGTCCATCAATCTCCATGACTGTATGCATCTCTAGTCCTGCTGTGCACACAGGCTGAATGATAAGATCTTCTAATGACCAGACATCTTAATAAGACTGTTGCACACAACTTTGCCTGATTCATGTGCCCAGTTTTGGTGCCCATATAATTAAGTTGCTGCCTTTAAAAGATTTGGGGTGAGAATTTAAAAAATGTGTAAGTCATTTTCAAAAGTGACTTAGGCCCATAGGAACAGTTAGAGACCTAAACCATTTCTGAGAATGAGTCTCAGGCCTTGTCTGCACTGCCTCCACATGAAGCTTGGGAGTGCCACCCGAAAGCAAGTCCCATCCCCTCACTCCTACTCAGTGGCCACGTCTACATGAGACACTGACTGCACAGTAGATCAAGACCACTGCACAGTAGTGTCACTATATGCTTCCTGCCATGTAACGCTACTGCGCAGTAGTCTTGGGTTAGTACACAGTCAGCATCACAAAAAAGCCGTTCAGCAACACTACTGCACTGTAACTCTGGTTACTGTGCAGTTATTTAGTATTTGTTTATACAAGTACTAGATGACTGCACAGGCATGACTGCACAGTCAGCATCTTATGCAGGCATGGCCAGTGTATACCAAAGCTCAGAAATGAGGCCATGATTATGTACCAAGAAGTACACCCAAGACTGAAAGCCTGAGAGTGATACTGGGACACTCACTTAGATTCCCTTCCAGTCAGTCATAGCACCTCACCCTGGGCACATCTACATATGCTTTAATGCACCGTTGTTACCGCACATTAAATTTAGTACCTCTAATATGAGATACAGTACTAACTAAAAGTGCAATAACTGTCACTACTGCACAGTAGTGTCTTTTTATTAAACTTAATCCACAGTAGAATAATTCTACTGTGCATTAGCGCATTAGCATGCCTTTCACTGTGACTTGCTAATGCACAGTAGAATTAGTCTACTGTGCATTGTCTCATACAGACGCACCCTCTAAGAATAAGTGAGTTCCTAGGGTGAGCTTCCCACTGGCAGTCCCAGGCTCAGCATGGAGATTGTGTAGACAGGTCCTTCAGCTCCCAAGTCACTTGGGTGCTTTGGGAAATGCTATTACTCACTTTGTCATGAGCAAGTCATCTTGACTATGGTACAGTGTTTTCTCTGATAAGGGCTGTGCCTTAGCACTTATCTTTTATGCACTGCTAGCATCTGAAAGTCAGCGTGGATGCTGTGCCATTTACTTGAGCTCAGTTCTATT